GAATCAGGGAGCGATGGTAGAATCAGGGAGACTAAGGAATAGGCTGTTGTAGGAATCATGGCAAAAGGAAAAGGTGGTAGCAGTGAAAAATGTTGACAATCTGATATTTTGAAAGTCTAATTAACCTACAGGATTTGCTGTTGGAGTAGATAGGAGAGTAAGAAAGAGAAGAATAAGGATGACTCCAGGGTTTTTGGCCTTTGCAGCTGGAAGCATGGAATGGCCATTCACTGAGATGGGTTAAGGCATGGGTAGAGTAGGTTTAGGGGGAGCAAGATGGGGAGTTAAATTTTACTGTACTTATTAGACCTCCAAATGGAGAAGTTGAATGTGTAAGTCTAGAGCTTAGAAGACAGATCTAGGAGAGACATAAATTTGAGAGTTGTCAGTTTATAGCTTGTATTTAAAACCGTAAGATAAGGATCATCTAGGGAGCGAGTGGCAGGTGGAGGTGGGTGGTCCAAAAACTGAGCACTGAGATACTCCAAGGCTTAGAGGATGGGGATGAGGTGGAGAGAAAGCAGCAAGGTGACTGAGGAGTTACAGGTGAGGAATTGGGTAGAAAAACATGAATGTGTGTGTCCTAAAAGCCAAAATGAAGAAAATGTTTCAAGAAAAGAGAGAGTGATCATCTTTGTCAAATGCTAATGCTGAATCAAGAAAGAGGAATGATAATTCCCCAGTGGATTTATCAGTATAGAGGTTTTGGAGCCTGACTGGAATAGATTTTAAAAAAAGAACAGGAGAGAAATTGGAGATATGAATGTAGACAACTTATTCAAGAATCTTGTCTTGAAAAACAAAAATGGAGCCATAGATATAAAGGGATGTAAAATTTGAGATTTTTTTTTTTTAAGATGGGAGAATTTATAACATATTTATACATTGATGGGAATTAATGCAATTAAGAGAGGAAAAAACATTGAAGAGGGAGAAAGAATTGTTAGACAGTATTCTTGAACTGGCCATAAGAAGGGGTGGCCTTAAGTTGGAGTAGAAACAGCCCAACTCCAGTACTACGCAGGACAGAGTAAGGAGTGAGGAGGCAAATGGGTGGTGGTGGTAAAAGCCAGCAGAAGTTTTCTGATTGCTTCTATTTTTCTGGGCAAAACAGGAAACAAAGCCATATAGGACAATTTCTGCTGCTGGTAAATATAAAGAAATGAGGCAAAGAGTGGTCATTTATAATGATAATTTGTGTAGTTGCTCTTCTTGAAATATATTCCATTTCTTCTGAATCCTACCCATCCCTGAAACTCAGCACCCCAGTCAAGCTTGCTTTAGACCATGATGATCTCTCTTTTTCCAACTAATTCCAGATTATGTGAACTACTCATCTGGCTTAGCATGTTGGTTGGTTATCTTTTTTTTCCTTTAATTTATTTTTCTAATGTCTGATCTGCTCAGCTGTACTGTCAATTGCTTGTTTGTAGGGACAGTGTTCTTATTTCCTGGTCTCTCCTGCACAGAGTCAGGCATATAGTGAGTGCTTAACAAATAGATTCTTCCCATAGTGGGCCTGAGCTTGGCCATAAACAATGTTTTTATAGTTAAATTCAGTTAAACTATTTTAATTTAATCCCTAACCCGTTTTTGAAACAATTCGTACATTTCTGTTTTTCCTTCAGGTTCAGGATTATCTAAGGAGATTCGAAAGTATACCAGATATGCTTGAATTGGATCACCTCACAGTTTCAGGAGATGTGACATTTGGCAAGAATGTTTCATTAAAGGTGTGTTGTTATAATGAAAATTATAATTTTTATAACTTTACAAAACAGGTTTCATTTTCTAGTCCTAAATTTAAAGGAATACTTCTTAGTCTGTACCAGATGTTTATAAGATATAAATACATTTTTAAAATGAAGTACCACAATTTTTAGTATTAATACTGTCTTCCATAGATATGCAACATAGTTAAAATATAATCATAATTGTTGTATGTAGGAATTTTGTGGAATATGGCATTCACATGGAAAGCAAAAAATAATGAATAGTTGAACTGGTACTATTTTATTGAAAAGACAGCCTTTAAAATAGATTCACTGTTAAATTAGCATTAGCTCATTAAAATGACTTTGAATCTGAATGAAAGTATAAAAATGACAACTTTATATTTAATATAATCTATTCCTGTTAAAATAATATCATCATCAGTATAAACATATTCATTCACATTAAGTACTTCTATACTTTTATGACCATTCCAGCTTAGCATAAGAAACAGGACTTGGTATAAGTATTAAAGCTCAGAACCAAGGATAGAACAGCTTTTCCCTAATTTTTAAATATCCCATACCTAGATTTTGTGTTCTTCCTATTAAGAGCTACTTAAATGAAGATCTTAAAAAAAAACAAAATATATGTATATTGAACTTTATTGCTGATACAGCTTCGTCTGAACAGTCTCACTTAAGATATGAAAATTTATTAGTAACCTATTCTTAAAAAAAACCCAAACTGATATGTAAATATAAACCAAGCACCCTTAATTTCTTTATGAAGATAGATAATGCTGGTGGCCTTGCAAGTAGTTCTTTGAAAGGGCTAGTCATGTTATGGCGTTGGGTCCATTTCCCATTTCTGGTATCACCTCATTCCTTGATAAGGCAAGGAATCTAGAACTATTGCCAGGTTTGTTAGGACACATTACATTTTCCTTAATATGTTTTTCATATTTAACATCGTTTATAAATATAAATAGAATTACTCCATTGTAAATGGAGTTCTACATAAACTTGATTGTAAGAAAAATCAATTGCATTTCAGCTTCAGCTGTAATACACTATTGCTTTGTCTACCCTGTCACTTAGGGAACAGTTATCATCATCGCAAATCATGGTGACCGAATTGACATCCCACCTGGAGCAGTATTAGAGAACAAGATAGTATCTGGAAATCTTCGTATCTTGGACCACTGAAATGAAAAATACTATGTACACTTTATGCTAATTATGGGCTAAATAATTTCTTACAATGAAATGTTCTCTAGGATTCTAAAATAGGCAGGTACTTTACTATGTTACTGTACCCCGCAGTGTTAATTTTTAAAATAGTTTTCTGTAGTATGCTTTAAGTCTAAGAAAAGCACAGATGAAAGCAATACTTTTCTTCTTTGAAGAGGATCCTGAAAGTTCATCTTAAAGTGCAATATTGTTTAATCTTAAAACTGGGGCAGCTCTGCTGGAAAATCTTTTAACAGAGGCTTCAGTGATGGTCACTTTGAATTGCTTGTGATTTCAAAAATAAAGCTGTGAAGCAATACATGTGTACACTTATACTTTTCAGTGCTAACTTTATGAAATGGTGAAGAAAAATGGTTTATTCTTGTTAAACAGTTACTATATCAGTTGGAAGATCTGCTCTTGGAATATTTAAGTACTCACTGCCCATTTACCTGAAAAGTCAAGTTTTTGCATTTCTAAGAATCTTAACCACATCATTATTTCCATAGGAATTCAACTTGAAGGTATTTAGTACCTTTCATTTAGTTCTAAAGCTGGGATGCCTGCCATGCTTTCTATAGACTCTCCATTTATTGAAACAATGTGGTGTTTCTTTTCCCAGCTGAAGGGGATGGGGTGGGTAGAGGTAGGGCATTTCTTTCACATCCTTGTTCTTTAGTGTATTGAGCGGGGGTATAACTATAAAAAGTTCCCTTTTCTTGAAGCTTGGTTGTCACTGAAAAATGTTCATGAATAACCTTTCAAATCAGGTCTGGTAATGTGTGGCTTTTCTCTAAGAATCAATTACATTTTCCAGTTCTTCCATACTTGCTTTTGAGTAGGCTGCTTGTTTAAAGTTTACTGTATACTATTAAAAAAAAAGTTCTCTTTTAAGTCTGGTCATTTTTTACAGCTTTATTTTAGACAAACAATTTAAGAACCAATGGCATACCTCTGTAATGATAAAGGAAAGAAAACAGGCTTTCCTGTTAGGAAACCAAAGAGCACAAAATAAGACTATTTCATTGTACATAATCACCACAAGGTTAGGCACTCTGACAGGGTTAGGCAAGATTTCCTGGTGTGAGGTGAGGCACAGGCACTTTCATTTGTAGAGTACTGCTGATTCTAATGTGGAAGGTAGATATTATAAGTCTTTAACTTACTCATCACCTTATAGTTCTGGCCCCAACACAGCAGCCTATTTTAAAAGTTCTGTTTCTCCCTGGTCTTTGTTCATACACACATCGAAAGTAACCTTAAAAAACTCAAGGGAACCATACTCTGTGTATTATCTAAATGTTAAAATGAGAACTCATAAGTAGGCAGAATATATAAAAATGGATTCTTACCTCTGCTAGAAATAAGGCAAAAAAAAACCCTCCATAGATATTTTTATAAAAATACAACTATTAACCTGCAGGCTTTCGTATACCACTTCTGAAAAGTATTTAAATTAGTTGCATAAATAAACACCAATATCTTACTCTTTAATTATTACTTGTGATCATCCTTTCAAGTATTTAAACTATTCTGGAAGGCTTTACTCAGTTGATATATAGTTGTGGTAGAAAGATTAAATATGTGCCACCCAAAGCCTAAAACTTGACATTGGTCACTAAAACAAAAATTGAATTCCTAAATCCAAGCAATCAAAAGATGTTTATTTTTTATAGAAAGATCTGTAAAAAAATAATTTTTCAAACAACTTTACTTTCATAGAGAAAACTTTCTACAGAGGTTGACTAAGATTTTAATATTTTAAATTGTACCATCATTAAATAAGGTAGGACACCATATGAATTTCATTGCACTGGAAGAAATGCAAAGCATTTTTTAATATAAAGTATACAGAGCATTCTAGTCAACTACAGCTGTGTTACAGCTATGTGTTCTTTTGGATTTGGTCCAAAGAAACCTGAGTCTGTTTCCAGAGAGAATGAAAAATGTTATAGACACCTGATCAGTTACTCCTCACTGAAGGAAACAAAATTGGCATTCCTTGTAGATCCCCACTGAACCCA